TGTGTGTGTGTGTGTATATATATATATATATATATATATATATATATATATATATATATATATATATATACACACACACACACATACTGTATGTATATTCTCATTATTCATGATGTTCTAACGTTGGTTTGATATTAACCGATTAATATTTTCTAATTTTGTTGAATAATTTATTACTGGAGTCTTTCTAAACGTGTGTTTTGTCCACAGGTTGAGTTCGGTGTCTTTAGGTGTTGGAGACACAAGCTCGGGTCTCTCTAAAGTCCCTCTGGATGTGGAGCAGTGCGAGTGTCCCTGGGGTTATTCTGGCACTTCCTGTGAGGTGAGAAACCACTTCCGGGTCACATGATCAGTGACTGGATTATGTGCAGATAATTGAACCAAACATGCAGCTGTTGCAGGTTATTAACCCAGCCGTGTGTGCTCCTCTCTTCAGTACTGTGTTCCCGGGTTTTATCGGGTCGGTGGGATTCTGTTCGGAGGAAACTGTCTTCAGTGCGAGTGTAACGATCACGCAGCGGAGTGCGACATCAACGGAGAGTGTCTGGTAGGTTTTATCTTGCAGAGAATAAGATCTTAGTTTGGAGCAGTTCCTCCAGTGAAACGAGGCTGTTAAACCCTGTGTGTGTGTGTGTGTGTGTGTGTGTTCTCTTCAGGGCTGCGCACACAACACCACGGGGCCTCACTGCGATCACTGCATGCTGGGTTTCTATGGCGACGCCAGCGAGGGCACACCGGACGACTGCCAGAGATGCTCCTGCCCACTGACACTGGAGTCCAACAAGTGAGTGACTGTGTGTGTGTGTATGTGTGTGTGTGTGTGTGTGTGTCTGAGTGTGTGAGTGAGAGAGTGTGTGAGTGAGAGAGTGTGTGAGTGAGAGAGTGTGTGAGTGAGAGAGTGTGTGAGAGAGAGTGTGTGTGTGAGAGAGAGAGAGAGTGTGTGAGTGAGAGAGTGTGTGAGAGAGAGTGTGTGTGTGAGAGAGAGAGAGAGTGTGTGAGTGAGAGAGTGTGTGAGAGAGAGTGTGTGTGTGAGAGAGAGAGAGAGTGTGTGAGTGAGAGAGTGAGTGAGAGAGTGTGTGTGTGAGAGAGTGTGTGTGTGATTGTGTGTGTGTGTGTGTGTGTGTGTGAGTGAGAGAGAGAGTGTGTGTGTGTGTGTGAGAGAGTGAGTGAGAGAGTGAGTGTGTGTGTGAGTGTGTGTGTGTGTGTGTGTGTGTGTGTGTGAGTGAAAATGTATGTTTGTATGATTTTGTATTTAATTATCATATTACATTTAACATATATTATAAATTATATATTATTATAATATAATCTAAATATATTATTAAAATATAAACTATATGTACATACAAAGAGAAAATATCTGTATGAATATATTAATGTGTGTGTGGATATGTATAAACCTATAGATATAAATCTCTAGTTTCTGTGTAATATCTGTCTGGTGTGTGTGCTGCAGTTTTAGCCCCACGTGCGTGCTGCAGCGTCCCGGTGAGTTCACCTGTGATCAGTGCCAGCTGGGATACGCCGGAGCCAAGTGTGAGAGGTACAGGACTGCGTTTAATTATTTTCAGAGGATGTTATATATTTAGAAACGATCAACGGATCCCAAAGGCCCCGCCCTCATCCTCAGGTGTGCTGACGGTTACTATGGCGACCCCGCGGAGCCGGGCCGGCAGTGTTTGGCATGTGAGTGTAACGGTAACGTGGATCGGGCTGAAGCGGGTCACTGCGACGGACGCAGCGGAGAGTGTCTGAAGTGCTTGGGTCACACGGCGGGGAGACACTGTGAGCGCTGCACACACGGCTTCTACGGCGACGCCGTGACCCTCAAAAACTGCCAGGGTGAGAGAACATCACTCAGTCATATTTAAATGATGATAATATTATCTATACATAATAGTAACTTTTAGATAACGAGAAGAGCACATTCTGGAATGAAGCTCTAGTGACATCTGCTGGACGAACGCGGTACTGCAGCGTGTCTGTAATCATGTGCTTCCGTGTGTGTGTGTGTGTGTGTGTGTGCAGCCTGCGGTTGCCATGGTGACGGCTCTCTGTCCACCGTGTGTCACGTGATCACGGGTCAGTGTGAGTGTAAGGCTCACGTGATCGGACAAACCTGCGGCCGCTGTCAGGTGCGTCCTCTGCTGTGGTGTTTACTAACTTGATCATTCAGATGCTGTGAATAGCTGTATATATGCTTTATGCCATATTTCATTGCATCTACTTTGCTTTTTTCATTTACTTATAAAAGAAAAAATACCATGTTCCATAACGCCATTCATCGCCATTAATAGTTTTATTATATAATTATGATTAATAGTTTGTATAATATTCGTTAATAATTCTCTTTTATTTACATTTGCTAATAATATATAATAATAATATTAAAAATATAGTTCATATAATGTGTTATAATTCTCTTACCTATCATTTATTAAATTAATAATTCATCCTTATTTACTGTTTATTAATATTGTTATAATTATTAATAGTTTGTATAATATTCGTTGATCATTTTCTTTTATTTACTTTTTATATGAATATTTTTACTTATATTAATATAAAAATATAATAAGTATATACTTGTATTAATATTATTTACTGTTTATTAACAGTTTAAATTTTTATATTATTATTTATGTAATCTTCATTAATAATTCTCTTTTAGTTGCTGTTTATTAATATCATTAATATTATCGATTGTTTTTAAGATATTCATTGATAATTTTATTTTATTTACTGTTTTTAAAATATTAGTAGTTTATGTAATCTTCATTAATAATTATCTTTTAGTTAGTTTATTAATATCATAAATATTATTATTATTATTGTTAATTTTTTTAATAAAATATTAATTGTTTTTTTCTTATTTACTGTTATTAAAATATTAGTAGTGTATGTAATCTTCATTAATAATTTTCTTTTAGTTACTGTTTTTAAAATATTAGTAGCTTATATAATCTTCATAATTAATTCTCTTTTAGTTTATTAATATCATAAATTATTATTATTGTTAATATTTTAAATAAAATATTCATTTATATTTTTTATTTACTGTTTTTAAAATATTAGTAGTGTATGTAATCTTCAGTAATAATTCTCTTTTAGTTAGTTTATTAATATCATAAATTATTATTATTATTGTTAATTTTTTAAATAAAATATTAATTTTTTTTTCTTATTTACTGTTATTAAAATATTAGTAGTGTATGTAATCTTCAGTAATAATTTTCTTTTAGTTACTCTTTATTAATATCATCAATATTATTATTAGTAGTATTAATTGTTTAAAATATTCATTGATAATTTTCTTTTATTTACTGTTTTTAAAAAATGTGTAGTTTATATCATCTTCATTAATAATTCTCTTTTAGTTACTTATTATTAATAATAATAGTTTCGTTATATTATACATTATTATCAGTAGTTCATATAATCTTCAGTAATAATTATCTTTTGCTAATAGTCTGATTAATAGCCGTTGTTTTTGTATGTTGTGTCTCAGGCGGGTTATTACGGCATCCGCAGCGGCGATGGCTGCAGACTGTGTGAATGTAACCAATCAGGCGCTCTGTCTGCGTCATGTGACGAGGAGGGGCGGTGCCAGTGCATCACCGGGGTGACGGGTGATAAGTGTGAGCGCTGTGAGCGCGGATACTACAGCTTCACCGAGAGCGGATGCACACGTAAGAACCGTGCACTGATGCACAGAGAGCGCAGAGAGATGAACATGGTGTTGTGTATGAACACGTGTTGTGTCTCCTCTAGCGTGTGACTGCGCACACACACACGGGGACTGTAACGCAGACACGGGCGAGTGCATCTGTCCTCCGCACACACTCGGCCTGAAGTGTGAGGAGTGTGAGGAAGGTCACTGGGGTCACGACGGCGTGTCCGGCTGTACGGTACGACACATGCCTTCATCATACCACGATATTCCTGCGAGTGCGGTGGAAATACCATAGTGATGAATAAATAATAAATCAAATGAATAAATAAAAAAATTATAATTGTAATTGAATATTCATTTTTTCCAGTACAATGATTGATAGTAGTGAATCTTTTGACTCATTAGATTGTGAATCGATGACACTTCTAAAGTTTTAATTAAGACACAAACTAAACTCAGATAAACATTATTTATGAAGATGCAGTGCAGGAAAATGCTGATGCTGATGTGAATCGTGAGTGTTTATCATGAGAGTCATGTCTGTGATTCAGATCACGCTGGGCTCTGCTCCGGCTCTGCTGCGTGTCGTGTCTCAGAGTGACCTGCAGGGGACGCTGGAGGGAGTTTCTTACAGCGATCAAGAGATGCTGCTGGACACGTCTCACCTCCACAGTCTGTCTGTCCTCACCGGCCCGTATTACTGGAGACTCCCGCAGGTGTGTGTGTGTGTGTGAGAGAGTGTGTGTGTTTGTGTTTGTGTGTGTGTGAGAGAGAGAGAGAGTGTGTGTGTGTGTGTGTGTGTGTGTGTGTGTGAGAGAGAGAGTGTGTGTGTGTGTGTGTGAGAGAGAGAAAGAGTGTGTGTGGAGCGGAATCAATAAATTTAGATGAAAGATTATGAAGTTAAAACATGTTCACTGCTGAATCATTTACACTGAGACATGAATTCAGAGTCCGTGTTGGTTTGGTGATCTCCTCTCTCTGTAGGATCTCTAATATCTCTCTGGACACGGCTCTGGAGGCGGACGAGGCTCCTCAGGGTGGAGATGTGGCGCGGTTGGTGGAGACGTGTGAGTGTCCGCTGGGATACGCTGGACTCTCCTGTCAGGTCAGATAAACGCCTCCTCATCATCTGTTATCACAGACAGACCAGAAACGTTCATGTATGGAGTCACATAATCAATTTAGAAATGCATCTAATAGTTCCTGTCCTTAGAAACTGATAAATGCCTTGATAAACAAATGAGTTGTTCATGAGTGACTCATCATGCTCTGTGTTCCAGGAGTGTGCTCCGGGGTTTTACCGTCAGGCCGTGTCCGAGCTCAACATGAAGGGCAGAAAGCGTCCGCTCATTCGGCCCTGCGTCCCCTGCCGGTGCAACAACCACAGCCTGTCATGTGACCTGGACACGGGCGAATGTCTGGTGAGAAACACAGACGAGCTGCTGCATCCGAGCTAACTGATAATACAGACAGAAGCAGCGGCTTGAGATGCTGTGATCATTGTGTGTTCAGGGCTGCCAGCACAGCACCGCAGGAGAGCACTGCCACGTCTGCGCCGCAGGGTATTATGGGAAGGTTCAGGGCTCCGTCAGAGACTGCTCGCTGTGCACCTGTCCTCTTCGGGGTCAGAGGTGAGGTCACATGACACCGCTGTGCTCACATGGTCACATGTTTACCGACAGTAGTTCTGGAAATTAACCAATAAAATCAGTCCCGGTAATCAGCCAATCGGAATTAAGAATAATAGAATACCATGAAATTAAATTTAATAGCAGCTCATGTTAGAGCTGCACAACAAGATTTAGTTTTTCTTCTATATTAAGTTATAAAAAAATGCAGGGATTTTCACCAGATGACTTGAATAATTTTATTATGAAATAATTCGATAAAATATTTTTTAAAAAACGTTATATTCTGAAGACGTTTTTTGAGTGCAAATAATAATAATATTATTAAATAAATATTTTGAAAAAAAAGAAAGAAATATAGTGTAAAAAATATTATTTTGATTGTTCAATTCAAGTTTATTTGTATAGCGCTTTTCACGATACAAATTAAGTTTCTACAATATGACTGTCAGTTAATGTACATCTGGCAGAAATGTACGGAAAAATCAATTAAAGACGTAATCAATTAAAGGCGTAATCAAACAGAGGATGAACACTATTAACAGCAATTATTATATGATGCTGTAAAACTTATAGCAAAATGTGGTAGTTCAGCTAGTTGCCAAGTAAACATTTCTCATTTTTATTTAGTTTTAACTTGATATACTAAAATAGATAAAACTAATGTTGAAATAAAAAATAATACAAACTATTTAGACATTAAAAATATAATAATAAAAATGACAAAAACACAAAAAATACTAAAACAATAACAGAAATTAAAACAAAAACAATATATAAAAATTAATTTATAAATTTTATTTTTATTTTTTATAATTAATAAAAACTTTAATAGTATCTCACTGATGCAAGATTATTATAATAAAATAATCTTATTTTATAGTACAACTGCAAAATGACAATATAAATGTTTACATCTTAATTTCTTCATTCTCAAACAGCAAACCATTAAGTATGTTTTAGTGAAATTTGGAAGCGCATATATAATTTATTTATTTAATTATATATATGTGTGTGTGTGTGTGTGTGTAATTTTATATAATATAAATATATAAGTAAATAAATAATATAGAAATATTTTAAATAAATAAAATATTTGTTTATCTAATTAAATATATTAAGTCGTATTGCTGTATTGATTTTATTTCAGTATATGGTTCAGCTGTAGTTGATGTTTGCGTGTGTTTAGTTTCAGCTCGACGTGTGTGTTAGAGGGCGCCGGTGATTTCCGCTGTGATCGCTGTGAGGCGGGATACGAGGGCCGTTACTGTGAGAGGTGAGATCATGTGACACTCACTCACTCACTCACGCACTCACTCACTCACGCACTCACTCTGTCTCTGTGTGTGTGTGTCTCTGTGTGTGTGTGTCTCTGTGTGTGTGTGTCTCTGTGTGTGTGTGTCTCTGTGTGTGTGTGTGTGTCTCTGTGTGTGTGTCTCTGTCTCTGTGTGTGTGTCTCTGTGTCTGTGTCTGTGTCTGTGTGTGTGTCTGTCTGTGTGTCTGTGTCTGTGTCTCTGTGTGTCTGTGTATGTGAGCAGGTCTGCAGTGTCTGTGCTGGAGAAGGTTCAGGAGGAGATGTCAAAACCCTTCAGTCACAACCGCTTCGGACAGGAGAACATCTCCACAACCCTCACCACACACAGCCAGCGGCTCCTGCAGGTCCAGGAGGCCCTAAACACAGCCGAGAGCCACAACAACCACAGCAGACACCTGCTCGACGACATCCAGACCAGCCTACAGACGCTCACAGTGAGTCACGGCTTCATCAGAGGATGCGTGTGATCACAAATACAGGAAAAATCTGAAATATTATTACAGTGTAAAACAGCTGTTTTCTAAGTGAATATCTGTTAAACTGTAATGTATTTCTGTGATGCGCAGCTGTATTTTCAGCATCATTACTCCAGTCTTCAGTGTCACATGATCTTCAGAAATCATCCTAATATGCTGAAATACATTACAGTTTAACAGAGATTCACATAGAAAACAGCTGTTTTAAAATGTAATAATATTTCAGTATTTTTAATCAAATAAACGCAGCCTTGGTGAGCAGAAGAGACTTTCAAAAACATTAAAAAACATTTATTCTCCAGATCTCCAGGAACAATGTCAGCAGTCTGAAACAGGAAGTAGAAACGCAGGTACAGGAAGCTCAAGACCTGCTGAGCGATGCCCTCAATATCGCTGAAGACATGAGGAACGGCACGGCTGTAAGTGACGTTTCTACACCACTGAACTCTGTCTAGACGTATGTGATTCGACATGATGCACTTGTTTGTGTGTGGCTCCAGACTCTGGATGAGACGAGGAATGATCTGGAAGGATGGAGTCCGTCTCTCAGGAAGCATGTGGACGCTTTAGTGATGGACTTGACCAGAAGAGACGCCCTACAGCTGGTGTACAGAGCCGAGGATCACGCACAAGCTCTCCGCAAACAGGCACAAGCTCTTAACAGGTGCGTGACCCTCGAAATATCTCATCAGCATCTGATGGATAATGAGACTGAATGTGTTTGTTGTGGTTCAGTTCTCTTTCTGAGGTCAGGTCTGCAGCAGTAAACGCCACCAGCGCCACTCAAACCAACACCAACCTCAGAGAACACACACAGCTGGCTGAAGATCTGGCCCACGCCGCCAATCAAAGCGCTAGCTCCGCCCTCAATCTGGTACGTCGACCAATCACAGCTTCAGGATACTGTTACATGAGGGTTTCCCAAATGACAAGCTAATAATTCATCAAATGTAACAGTATAATAAACAAATAGGGCTACAGTTAAACTTCGATTTAATTATAGTATATAGTGTGTGGCACTGTGTTCATTTACACGCGTGCATCTGATAATAGTGTGATAATAGTATTATTAAAATTATATATATATAATTTTATAATTTGGTAAAAAAAAAAAAAGTATATTTGATCTGTTTACTTGCATGTCATGTGACAATTAGCACACATCAGAGAAATGTGAGCATACAAATGTGTTAAATAATTATAAATTAACTTAAAATCTTGGGCGGACTTTAAGAAAATCTTTTACATCGAAGGGGTTCGGCTGACAAAAAAGTGTTGTACATCATCAGCAATGTTCCCTGTAAGCTGCGTGCATTTCTTACATCGCCGCCGCGCATTTTATTTTATTTTTTATTTTATTTTATTTTAAAGCCTAATAAAAAAAATTTTTTTATTTTATTTTAAAGCCTAATAAAAAATTTACCCCAAAAAGGGAATTCATGAGAAATAACTGCTTAATTTTTTTTATATTATATTATTATAAAGAATTTAACTGTTCTGCGTGAGATTTTTTTTTAATGATTTTTAATAGAATTTCTTGGTAACACAGCACTGTAAAAATGTTTTCTCAGGTAACCGAAAATGTGCATCATTTAGTCACATCAAAGGTCAAATCAAATATAAATAGCACATTAAAGTCAAAAAGTACACACTTTTTTGTGTGCGCTGTACAGCTCTGGTATAAAGAATGTTTTTGCTCGGGTGGCTGAAATGTCCGGCCAATAGAGAAAAGTTTGCTCAGCAAGAGAACTAAAACATTTGAGGGACCATTGATCATCAGATATTCAGAATTCATGATGATATTAGAAAGCTGTTGCTGCTGTGTGTGTTTTGTGTCAGACGTCTGAGTCCGAGCACTCGCTGACTGAGCAAGGGAAGACAGCGCTTCAGAAGAGTTCAGAGAATCTGGACACCAGCGGATCCCTGAAGAACCACACAGAAGGTGAACACACACTCACTCACACACACACACAGACACACAGCACTAACACCTGAAGAACCACACAGAAGGTGAACACACACTCACACACACACACACACAGACACACACAGCACTAACCCCTGAAGAACCACACAGAAGGTGAACACACACTCACACACACACACACACAGACACACACAGCACTAACCCCTGAAGAACCACACAGAAGGTGAACACACACTCACACACACACACACACAGACACACACAGCACTAACCCCTGAAGAACCACACAGAAGGTGAACACACACTCACACACACACACACACAGACACACACAGCACTAACCCCTGAAGAACCACACAGAAGGTGAACACACACTCACACACACACACACACAGACACACACAGCACTAACCCCTGAAGAACCACACAGAAGGTGAACACACACTCACACACACACACACACAGACACACACAGCACTAACCCCTGAAGAACCACACAGAAGGTGAACACACACTCACACACACACACACACAGACACACACAGCACTAACCCCTGAAGAACCACACAGAAGGTGAACACACACTCACACACACACACACACAGACACACACAGCACTAACCCCTGAAGAACCACACAGAAGGTGAACACACACTCACACACACACACACACAGACACACACAGCACTAACCCCTGAAGAACCACACAGAAGGTGAACACACACTCACACACACACACACACAGACACACACAGCACTAACCCCTGAAGAACCACACAGAAGGTGAACACACACTCACACACACACACACACAGACACACACAGCACTAACCCCTGAAGAACCACACAGAAGGTGAACACACACTCACACACACACACACACAGACACACACAGCACTAACCCCTGAAGAACCACACAGAAGGTGAACACACACTCACACACACACACACACAGACACACACAGCACTAACCCCTGAAGAACCACACAGAAGGTGAACACACACACACACACACACACACACACTCACAGACACACAGCACTAACACCTGAAGAACCTCACAAAAGGTGAACACACACACACACACACACAACACCTGAAGCTCACACACATACACACACACACACACTCACTATAACACACACACGCCTCCTGCTGGAGCTTCACAAACACATGAACAAACAAAAACTGCTCCATTTCCATTGAATGAAATCATTAGGTTTATAAACCAGACTTGAACTGGTCTGGGTTCTTCTTCTGTGGTGGTGATTACGTCACACTCGTTGTTCTTTGGCTGCTTGTGCAGGAAAGTGGTGCGCAGGGCGAGTGTGTCCGACAGACACAATCTCTGCAGGAAGGAGTATACAAACACACACACACACACACACACACACACACACACACTGCACTAACACCTGAAGAACCCCACAGAAGGTGAACACACACACACACACACACACACACACCTGAGATCATTCATACAGAGGATCATCTCATTCCTGTCTGTGTTTCAGGGCTGGTGTTTAGCGTCCGTGAAGTGACCAGCAGGTTGAGTCTGGCTAGAGCGAGCGTTCAGAACGTCACACAGCTGCTCCCAGAAGCCCTGCACATCCTGAGAAACCTCCCTAATGGTGCGGTAACCCTTCAGCGTCCTTACTGACCAATTTTGGTCTTTTTTTTTTTTTGGCTCCGTTAATGCAAACAGTATAAATGTTTTTAAATGTTTCAAACCCTCATTTGCTTTCATAAATACTTTATTTTACACTAGGTACAAAAAATTGTTACACTCAAGACTCTGTACCAAAAATGTCTCCTTTGAAACCCATTAAAACGGCAATATTTAATCCCAGTGCCATTTAGGCATTAAATCATGCATTCTTTATTAATATTAATAATTAATTTGTACTGTTTTTAATTTTTAAAAAAATATTTTGTATATTTTTACTTATTCTTTTATTTAACATTTTGGCACCATTTTTACTTTATTAAATCAGACACATCACAAAAAATAACAATGCATCATAATTAGGGTTGCAAGGGTGGGGGGGATTTCCGGGAAACTTTCCAAAAAATGTTTTCACTGCAGTGGTATTATGTTAACAAACTGGCATTTAAAGGCTTAAAATCTTGAAAAGAAATGAATTTTAGTTATGATCAGGACTGTTGTTGATATAAAAAAATCTGTGAAATCAGAAAAAAATTATACATATGTATATTTGTAGCAATAGCCAACAATACATTGTATGGGTCACAATTATACATTTCTCTTTTATGCCAAAAATCATTAGGATATTAAGTAAAGATCATGTTCCATGAAGATATTTAGTAAATGTTCTACCGTAAATATATCAAAACTTAATGTTTGATTAGTCATATGCATTGCTAAGAACTTCATTTGGACAACTTTAAAGATGATTTTCTCAATATTTAGATTTTTTTGCACCCTCAGATTCCAGATTTTCAAATATTGTGCTATCCTAACAAACCATACATCAATGGAAAGCTATTTATTCAGCTTTCAGATGATGCATTAATCTCAATTTTTAAAAAAATGACCCTTATGACTGATTTTGTGCTCCAGGGCCACATATTAATATTTATAACCATTTTTTAACACGTTTTTGTTCTCCAAGTTCATCTGATTGAATTTAGTTTAATGATGTTTAATGAATGAATGTGTAACAGCAGCTGATTGTGTCTGTTTCTCAGGCAGCAGAGCTGAAGTGCTCGAGGCGAAGCAGCAGCAGGAAGCAGTGAATGCATCTTTACAGGAAGCTCTGGAGCGTCTGGAGGATTATCGTGTGAAGCTGCAAGAGTCGTCTTCTGCTGTGGGCTCGGCTAATAACAGCATCAGGAGCACTAACCAGCTACTCAGAGACTCGGAGGAGACCGGTGAGTGACTTCACTGCACTCTCTCTTCACGTGAGATCCGTATGAGCTGCTGACGCTCGTCTCGTCCTCAGCCAGCGCAGCCAGATCCAGACTGAGCGAGGCTCACCTGAAGACAGAGCGTCTGTTCGACCGTCTGAAACCCCTGCAGACGCTGGGAGAGAACCTGAGCAGAAACCTGTCGCAGATCAAAGAGCTGATCCGTCAGGCTCGCAAGCAGGCGGCGTCGGTGAGTCTGCCGTAGTGTTAATTTCGTTAACGAAGACTATGACGAAAAATGTTCGTCGACGAGCTTTTTTCCCCATGACTAAGACGAGACGACAATAAACGATAACTAAGACTATATCAACATACATTTTAGTCTCATCTTATTTAGTCAACGAAATTGCATTAAAAAAGATAAAAACTTTATTTAATAGAGAAAGAGACTATTGGAATGAATGGAATTACTAGGAATTTATAATATTTTTTGTTTGTTTTAGCTGTTTTCATAATGTAGACAGAGAGATTGCATAAGTCTTTGGTGTTGATTTATATAATAAAAAGCCTATAATAAATCAGTAAACTAGATGAGGTAAAATACACCATGTATGTGTCTACATTCTATTGATTTGCGCTTACTGGAGAAAGTGCAATGCCTGAAATGCAAAAGTAAATTTCTCAAATGACAACAATCATTACGATTATAATTTTGATCAGTTTAACCTTTATACAGAATGACGAGAATGTGACTAATATTTCATTGACTAAAAAACCTGACTAAAATACTCATACATTTCATTGAATAAACAAAAACAGTACACGTTTGTCTAAATATGATCACTACATTGTACATTTGAGTAAGACTAAGACTAAATTAAAAATGGCTGCCAAAATTAATACTGCTGTACGGTTAATTAATAATAATCTTATTGCTAAAATGTCAAGTTTTCATTGACTAAAACTAGACTAAAATGTTGAGACTTTTATTCGACTAAAACTAAATAGGATAAGGTTGACTAAATATGATCAAATCTAACAAGGACATTTAACATGGGACTCAGACTAAGACTAAAATGAAAATAGCTGACAAAATTAACACTAGTCTGGCGTCACGTGACTCTCAGAATAACACACAGCAGTATAAACGGCACTCTCACGTATGTGCTCGGACCTCTGCAGATTAAAGTGTCTGTTTCTGCGGATAAGGATTGCGTGCGAGCGTACAGACCAGAGGTGAGCTCCAGTAACTTCAACACGCTCACGCTGACCATGAAGACCAGCGAACCGGACAGCCTGCTCTTCTACATGGGCAGCAGCAGCGCCAGCGTGAGTCAGATCACATGACTTCACTCTAAAAAATGCTGGGTTTCAAATATGGACTAACCCAACCGTTGGGTTAAATTTTTACATTAAAGGGGTCCTATTATGCTTTTTCACTTTTTCAACTTTAGCTAGTCTGTAATGTTGCTGTTTGAGCATAAAAAAAGATCTGCGAAGTTACAAAGCTCAAAGTCCACTTCAAAAGGAGATATTTTATTTAACAGAAATCACTTTTCAAAAACTACAACGAACAACTCGATTGGACTACAACACATAGTTTCCGGGATTTCTGATATCACAAATATCGACGAATGGGACGAGACCTGGTTGAGTTGCTCTAGAGAAGGCAGCGAGTGTTATCACTATGTCCGAGACATGCTAGCTTTCCCAAGACAGACGAATTTAGAGGGCTTACAATCATCCGGGTTTAAATCGCGCTCAAATTGATTTGATTTTGATGCAATATTTACACTGAAACTCGCAGGCAGCTATGGTAAGGAGCATGACATTTCCCGACCAGATGCCGAGTTCTGCCAATCACAGCACATGCCCCTATTATGCCTTTTTCGAATATTACCTTTCATGCAGTGTGTCATGTAGCTGTATGTGAACATAAACTATCTGCAAAGTTGTGAAGCCGACAGTGCACGTCACGATAAATAACGTTTTTGTCTATCGCTTCGCACGAGTCATTTACAAATCATTTAGAAATTAGGTAAAATTAAATCTATTTTATGAGAAAACTAACGTGTTTTTTGACCTTGCATGCATGTAAACCTGTTTTAGGAGACTCATAAAACAATATTAGCAACCTTAAAAATGGCATAATAGAGGCACTTTTGTTAACCCAAAAGTTGGGTTTTAGTCCATATTTGACCCAAAGTTCGGTTGAAACCACCCAGCATTCTTTAGTGTTGAGATCTTATTTTAGTATTATTTATATACTATTATAATTTTCATTAATGTTTTGGATTACCCTTTATTTATTTTTTTATTGTTTTAGTAATTTTATGTGCTTTTGTCATTTTTATTTATTTATTTTGTTGTATTACTATTTAGATTTAATTAATTTTTATACCAGTTTTAGTTTTTACAATTTTAGTAAGTCAACTTAAACTTCCGTGTTGTTTATATACTATCATAGTTTTTATTAATATTCTAAAATAATTTTATTGCCGTTTTAGATTTATTTTTAGCTCAGTTTTAGTTTTTATTTATTTCCAGTTAATAATTTTAGATTGACCTTTAATCTTAGTTTTATTTATATACAATTATAATTTTTAATTATATAAAAAAAGTACTTTTTATTTTAACTTTTTTAGGTTTCATTTTAAGTTTCGTCGTTCCACTTCGACGGCAGCGGTTTCTCTGTGCTGGAGAAGTCCCTGCGCTCCATGTCCACCAGCGTGGTCATGTTCTTCAAGACTCTCTCTCCTAACGGCCTGCTGCTGTATCTGGCCTCCAACGGCACCGTACGTTCACGCTAGCACTTCTCACCTCCTTATCTCCCTCTCAAGTGCTCCTCAGCGTCTCACTCGGCTCTCTTCTCATCTGTGTTTGTAGAGGGACTTCCTGTCCATCGAGCTGGTGGAAGGGAAGGTTCACCTGACCTTTGAACTGGGCTCCGGAGCACTGACCTTGACCTCCAACAGAACATACAACACCGGCACCTGGTACAGAATCGCCCTGCAGAGGAACAAGCGCCGAGGTGATGCTCTGCTCTCGTATCCATTACATCTGGTAGGTTTCTTATGAGGTTTAAGCTCACAGGAAGTGATGTGTGTTGTGTCTGCAGGTCATTTGTCAGTCATGGCCGCTGATAAACCCTCAGAGCGAGAGGTCATGGAGGCGGAGTCACCGGGTTCGGCCTCTGACCTCAATCGCTCTGACCTCGACCCCATCTACATCGGCGGATTACCGGCCTCTCGACCAATCAGGTGAGAGCAAACTCTCAGAAGACATGCTACAGTTTCCTTAAAGTAACTCAAGAGTAATTTTTGTCTTACATGTGATGTTCTTGTGCACGGATGCAGGAGGCAGGTTGTGGCTCGCTCTTTCGTCGGCTGTATGAAGAATGTAGAAATCGCTCGCACAAACTTCGACCTGCTCAGAGAGTCGTATGGAGTGAAGAAAGGCTGCGTCCTCAAGGTACAGCATCACGTTCTGGGAGTTCGTGATTTGATGAAAAGCAAATTAAATCATAAATATGTCCAATTAAAATTAATAAATAAATCATTTTATAATAAAAAACAAAATCAAAATAAAACACAATCAAAATTGATTCAATGGTAAAAAAATCTAAAATGAAAATAAATCATTTTAAAATAAAAACAATAAAAATGTAACTTTTTATTTTTATTTTTTTTGCATTTGTTTATTTAATGAATTCTTGTGTCTGATTGTCTTCAGCTGTAATTAATGGAATAATTCAGCTTCACTCATTAAACCACAATTATCGTTAACCATACTAAAATGTATTTTAAACACTCTACGTTATTTTATTCTTACATTCATTTCTGTTATTATGATATAAAACAAAGGACTTTGAAATGGTAAGTTAAACAAAAAATGTACATTAATTTAAAGTATTATTACTATAATAATATTATAGTAATATGTATAATATATACAGTTTTATTTATTATTACTAAAGATTAATCTAAAGTCCCTTAATTAAGCCCTTTTCATTTTCTTTATCTAAAACTCTAAAATCTTAAAATATCAATATAACGTACTATTATTGTAATAATGTTATATTAAAATATATAATATCTGAAATCTTAAAATAGTATCAATATAACGTATTGCTATAATAATTTTGTTACAACATATAATATTAATATTTATTTGGATATTATTACTAAAGATTATTTTAAACTGCCTAGCGACACCCTAGCAACCACCCAGCGCATCCTAACAACCACTCAGCAATGTCATAGCAACCATCTGTGACACCTAGCAACCACTGTAGCAACTGCCTAGGGACACCCTGGCAACCACCCAGCGCATCCTAACAACCACTCAGCAATGTCATAGCAACCATCTGTGACACCTAGCAACCACTGTAGCAACTGTCTAGCGACACTCTAGCAACCACCCAGCGCATCCTAACAACCACTCAGCAATGTCCTAGCAACCATCTGTGACACCTAGCAACCACTGTAGCAACTGCCTAGCGACACTCTGGCAACCACCCAGCGCATCCTAACAACCACTCAGCAATGTCCTAGCAACCATCTGTGACACCTAGCAACCACTGTAGCAACTGCCTAGGGACACCCTGGCAACCACATAGCAATGCCCTAGCAATTGACACCATAGCAACTGTCTAGCAACCACTGAAAGCATCCTAGCAACCACCTGCACTCAGGCCCGGTTTCCCTTAATTATTATATTCTTTTGAATTAGTTTATCTTATATACAAACACAATGTGAAGTCGTGTGATGATTATCTCCCTGAAAGTTGTTAATTATGAAGTAGCGACACTCTAGCAACCACCCAGCGCATCCTAACAACCACTCAGCAATGTCCT